GCTAGAACCTGCCACAGGGCTGTGTCCCCCCCTTATTACGCCATCGTGTAGTAATCGTCTTATTTGCCTGCGTGCGCTATTTAGTTGTGTTACCTTTTCATGCGTATCTTAAGCGGAATAGTGACATTAACCTGAATTTAATTTTGACCTGTAACATAATTATACATCATGTGGTCTAATTTAGTTAATATCTCCTGTAATTCTTGATCTCTACCTGTACCAGATATTTGTTGAATGATGCCTGTGTTTTGGCAAAGAAGCCCTTGGTATCTGGCAGTGCCTTGAGATTTGAGGGGCAGGTAGGGTTGTATTCTATCTCCTATGATCTGAATATTTTACCTTAAAGTTTTGGTTGTTTGCTCTTTTGAATAACTCCTGTACAACTACTTCAAATATTGTCCATAAAATCATAATTTTATACAGTCAAACCTGTATAATTAGGGCCCTGTATATAGCAGTCACCCTGTATATTACAGTCACGAGACAACTTCCCTAAATTTTTAGTGGCCTTATATTTTCTGCAAAGTTGACCTGTATATAGCGGTCACCCTGTATATAACGGTCACCTTGCCATTTCCTAAGGCTGATTGTTGTACACATGTTTGACTGTACATCATAGAATATAAAATTTAGATAAAGGCAGGCCACAAATAGTTCAAAATTAATTTTTCTGTTTCTTTGAAAGTTGACTGTCTACAACTATATGGGGGGTCCATGCTACCGCTGTCTATTCCCCAGTCCACCTCCACCAGAATCTGTTGGAAACTGCTCAGATTCAGGAGTCCTGGGACCAGGTAGGACAACAACACAAATTAAGAAGGTGATGAAGGTCTAGAAAAAGCTTTTCATCAAAGTGCAAAAAAAATGTAAACTTGTGATCTGATTTGATGATGTGATTATTGATTTATTTTTTATAATATTTCTTAGTGCCTGGTGTTATTGGTACACTGCAAGCTCTAGAGGCTATAAAAATTGCTGTTGGAATAAAACGTATCCTTGTTGTATATATATAACATTATATACTTAATGTCAGATCCCGAGGGAAACAGTTAGTTTTGTTTTTCCGAATATATGTATATATTCCTCCTTAATTTCACTGTCAGCCTCCTACTCACAAAAGATGTTAATTTATGATGCATTTGATGGCAGGTTTCTTACCATCAAACTACGACCAAGACAGTCATGCTGCTCTGTTTGTGGAGACAATCCTACAATAAATAAACTTCAGGATTATGAACTCTTCTGTGGAGCTTCTGCTACTGATAAGGTCATTAGAAGAAAAAAACTTATGATAAATGTACAACCACCTTTTACAAGTGACCATTTAAGTAATTTACCCCCCGGCTTCTCCAACAATATGTTGCCCTTCAATAGAATAGCACCCCATTATGGAATCACACCTTTTGATTTGTGTTGACAGTAAATGCAAATTTTTCTGTAAAATTATCAAATGTTTCCTATGACACCTTTGTAGGTGGAAATTGGTGTTGAGCGATTGCATTTCCTAATAAAAAGGGGAGTAGTGCAAAAGCTTATTGATTAACTTATTGATTTGCTTAAGTTAAATTATCTTAGTATCATGGAAACAGTATGCTAACACTTCAGCCAGAGTCAAAGGATGCAAGATGGGTCTGCATCCTTTATGAGCATGCAAATAGTCATGGGACCTGCAATTTTACGGCCGACATGGATCAATTGGCAGAGTTCGATAATACGGTCCTCTATTCCAGGGGGAGTAGCCATACCCAAGTGCCTCAATAGCTGCTGCCATGAGGGCCTCATGGGGTTGGCTAATGTGCAGCTTCACCTTACCTTTACTCATGTAAACTATGTACTTTTCCCAATCAAGGCACTTTTAATGTGGGCCTCTATGAAACATGACCACTTCTCATAAGTAACACCACAACCACTTTAATTTCTACTTCTATAGTTTAGAATCGAATTTTATCTATTGGTCTCTGATCTTCCACACAGTGTGCTCTAATCTCTTTTAGCACCATGCTGCATCATAACTCAGAAATTCTGTGCACTAAATTCTGTGTCTTTGACTGTGGACACGTGTGCCAGCTATAAGACCTGTTCCAGGGGATATGTTAAGGTTAAAATCCATTTTAAGGTTGAACTGTGATTGTTTAACTAGGTTACCAAATTATAGGCCTTAGGGTTAACTAGAACCCACTCAGACAGGCTAACCATGATAAGTTAAACAGCTGTTGACCCTGAGAATGGATACAGATACATGTTCGCGTTGTGTTCAGACTCTAGCAATTAAGTGACCACCTGAGTCTTACTGGGCTGACAGACAAACAAAACAAAGGACTGTAAGGGATCATTAGTTTTATTTCACCTGCTTGAATGGTGTTTTTCTTTACTTATAGACCCCATCTTTAAGAATTCTACAGAAGCAACAAAGAATCTCCGTTCAGGCAAGTAACTTTTATTATCAAAGTTTTACCATAATATTATTATTACCCACTAGTATTGGCTGTCCAAAAAAGGTTAAAGATTTTTAAATAATGACAAGTTTAGAAGCAAAACTCAAGAGTAAAAATTGAATACATTTGACTATAATGCAGAAGGCTGCCAGATTGCCCTAGTCATGTAGTTTCTTGGCAGTGTGCTGTTTAAAAAAAACAAGAGAGGAATTTTGTCTAAGGAAACAACAAAGTTGGCAGAATCCGTGATGTGAGCTGTGCTTTAGATACACTTTATACCTCGTAATGGCTGCAATAATATTTTCCTTTGTTTTAAATGATAAAATCATTAAATTTATTTGGATATGACAGTCATGAGACCCTCTTTGGGGGTTATGTATGACCCTAGTCTGAATTTCAAAACTTGTTGTTTCACGTTTTGAGGAGGGAGCCATTGTCAGTATTTTACTATTGTATTGCACTTTTCTCTGTCACTTTTGCAGTTTCAACTCATCTTTGTGTCATTTGTCGTCATTTCTGCTGTCCTATGTTGCTTTTTCAAGGCCATGTTGATTGTCAGAATTTTATTCTAACAGGGCCTCAGTCATGTGCTCCTGGATCAGTATTGATTCTGGGAAACTACCCACCTACCCCTCTCTTAACCCAACTAACCCAACATTTTGCCCTCAGTGAGAGGTTAGTGTTGGCCTTGGGTTAGGGGAGGGGTGGGTGGCATTCCCAACGTCTTTAATATACTGATTGCAATGGTCAATTCTATGGTTTCTGCTGATGAGTGGGGAAGAGGCCAGATCCCATTTGTTTTAATGTCTGATAGCACTATCCACTGCATAAAATCACTAGATCCAGTAGATAGGTAAATTAGGGAAACCAAAAATGCATTATCTGGACACTGGATACATGTAGAGACTTATCCAAAAATAAATCCACCTTTTCAACAACTGGGGCCAGAACATCAAAGTTTCAGTTAGGTCAAAATTTTTCATTCCTGAAAGTTGGCACCTTCTACAGTAGACCTTATTTCTTAGTTCCTCACATGCATTTGGAGTAAGCTTTATCTAATCTCATGGCTTATTATCTTTTAGGAATATAAACAACTTGTTGAAGAAAAATGTCCTCACATTCTTGTGGATGTACGGGAACCTGTTGAACTGGATATATGTTCTCTTCCTGGATCCTTAAGTATCCTTTGCAGTAAAATGTTTGTGCATAGTATAAAAAACCACTCATGACTGAATAAGCGATCCGTAGTAAATAAGTACACCCACCCACCACCCAGAACCCTTGTATCTGACAGAATGCACAGAAGTTATCATAAAAAATGCACTGCTGATTATGCATACCGGTTGCGGCAACAACTAACAGATTCATTTTTCAAATAGAGTACTAAAGTGATGACGTCATAAAAACGAAATTTCTGAAATTATGGGATTTGTCAGGATATTCTGAAAGAACAATGTCCAAGAGGCCTACTTACCAAAAATGAGCATTTCGGGGCAAATTGTCTCTGAGATATTAGCCGGTTAAACTCAGAAAACTCCATACAAACCCTTCTAATTTTTTTTTGGGTCGACCCAAAAAAAATTTAGAAGGGTTTGTATGGAGTTTTCTAAGCATAACTGGGCTACGATCTTAGGGACAATTTGCCCAGAAATGCTCATTTTTGGCAGATAGGCCTCTTGGGCATTGTTCTTTCAGAATATCCTGACAAATCCCATAATTTCAGAAATTTCATTTTTATGACGTCACACTTTAGTACTCTATTATCGATTCTCAATGGAATCTTAGGGGGGGAGGGGGGTACACTTGACCTGGGTTGACAGTAATACAGGTGAAGTTAACTTTGTTGATCATGTTGGTGATGATGATAACAGCAGTGATGGCAGTGATCAAATAACAGTAATATGATGACAATGGATTTGCATGCTTTGAATGATAGGTATATATGGGTATAAGAACCTTTATTGTTATTGAATTCCATTTTGAGTGACTCGATCATTTTCCTCAGCTACCATGCTGCTTGCAAGATATTCCTCTGAGAATCCTTCATTCTTCTGAGCAGCAGAAAAAACTTAGACAGGCTGTTTCCCATTTTGCTGAAGAAAATAAGTTAAAAGCAGTTAATGGTGAGTGGTTAACTGACTGTAATAGAAATTAAAGATGAATTCATCTGCAAATGCGATAGCCTGTGCCACAGACGGAACTCATCTTCTTGTTAAGTCTGTTCTCCAATTATAAACAGTGCCGAAATCCTAGTTCTGGGCCCCCACCTGTGTAACAGGATTTGAGTATGTGCCATGAATGGCCTGTTAAAAATGCCGTTGTTGATTTGCCAATCACCTTGACGAAAAATTCAAAATGCATCTGTGGTAATTCGTTGCGTCTGTTGGGGACTCAGAACAAGGATATGGCCGCACATCTAACTACAGGGGTTAGATTACATCTGAGACACAGGCTGCATATTCAAAAGACAAACAGATGACAGATCAATAAATAAACATTATTAAGTTATGAATATATGAAAATCATAACATGAAAGAAGATCATCTCAGTTATAGATGCAACTTTTGCAGTTGCGAAAAGAAAGCCTGAAAAAATTCAGGCTTGTACAGGATTCAAACCCTTGACCTCTGCGATAACGGTGCAACGCTCTTACCAATTGAGCTAACAAATTAGCCAACTGGGAGCAGGTCGTTGAATTGGTTCATTATAAACCTGTGAAAGGATTATGATGAAGTTATGAATGTATTAAAATCATAGTTATATGAAAACATTGCATCTAAGTATGCGATGATCTTCTTTTATAGAAATAAGTTATTTTTGTCACTTTTAAGTCGATGAAGAGGTTACGTTGTAAATAACATTCCTTTAACCCATTCGCTCCTGGAGATTTTGCCGAAAAATGCGTTTTGAAGCTAGTCGAGTGGTTTTCTGGTCACTGTCGTGCTACAAAGAGCTAAAACTTACCACAAACCGGTTTACAGGTCGTACACTTGGCGGCCTTCTGATCCAGATGCAAAATATCAGCTTGCGAAGTTCGGGCATGCGCAGAAAGCAAAATTTCGACAGTTTTTGGGTTTAAAAGTGACACAGCAGTCTTGACTTTTACTTTTCGCTTTCTCTCCTCCCTTCTTTTTTTGCTTTTCTTGCCTCATTTTTTTTTTCTCTTGCTGGGTATTTAGTAGGCTTCATTTTGGTGGGAAGAGTTTTTAGGAAAGCTTTTAGGATCTTAGGATTAGGTGAAAGGAAAGGTAGGTGGGTAATGGAACAAGATTTTCATGGAGATTTTCAGGTCCTTGTCACGTGGTTTTTTGCTTCTTTCTCCGGTGTCCTTGACTGAATTGTGCTCATTCTGGTATGGTTTGAAAGATCTCTTCACTCTGCACAAGTTAGCGAAGAAAGTTGTCCTTAACCGTTAAAACTGATGACGTCACAAAAGGTAGAAAGGACCTGGATCCGCACGGGCGGTTACGGGCGGTTCAGGGGCGAATGGGTTAATGTATTATTTTGTATTTTTATTTTTGTTATGCACAAATTTTATCCTAATGATATTAATATTTCTTGTATATTATTTTTGCAGTGTATGTATTATGCAAGCAAGGCAATGATTCACAAAAAGCAGTCCAGTTATTAATAGATAAGGGATTTTGCAAAAATCTCGACAACCTTCTATTAAATGATGATCCATCATGTGTTAGAGACAGCACCCTAGATACATCAGCTGGAGGGAAACTCAATGTTACATTTAAAGACATTGCTGGTGGCCTTCAAGCTTGGGCCAAACATATTGATAAGGATTTCCCTGTTTACTAGTGCAAATGGCTATACATAGCGCTGATTTTCTGTTCCAGTCCAATAAATATTGTAGCCTCAATTTCGGCCAATCTCCTTGAGGCACCAACCCGTAAGAGAGTGTGACTCGAGGAGGCTGCTGAAATAAAGACTCAGTCAATTCCAACCCTTGCAACTTTTTTATAGCACAGAGGCTAGTTGGGCTGGGCAAATGACTGACACAAATATCGTTAAAAATGGAACATAATTGAGTTAAGAATCCCAGCTGGCTGGAGGCAGCCTTTGCCACAGATAGGCCTACCGTGGACAATGAGTGGCTCATAGGGCCCCCGGCTGTGTACCAGGATTTAGGTGCATGCAATGGTTGGCCTGTTAAAAATGCCATTGTTTGATGTGTCTACCAGGTTGAAGAAAAATTTGAAACACACTTCTGGGAATTTGTTGGGTCTGTTGGGAGCCCAGAAGAAAGAAATTGTTGCTGCTTTGCAGACATTACTAGGTAGGGTTAGATTACACTTTTTGATATTTCTTATAGAATATCACATCATCGGTTACTAAGTACAAGTGTCACACATCCCTGATGGTTTTTCCGTTCACCATTAGCAGGAAGCAAACTAGTTACTGTCCAAAGATCTGAACTTGGGGCTCCCATGAAACAAATCAATTCAGTGGTCAGGGCCACACGTGAACCCAGGGCCTCCAGATTGTAGCTCAGCAATCCAACTGCCTGGCTGGATGGCAAAGACTCTGACTGTAAGCTTAAGTATGATAACACTTTTTGTTTTAATATCAACTGAAAGACAGCTACGGGTACATAACTATACCAATGCCTTTAATAACACGAAAAGTATTGCAACTGACTTTAAGATAAAATAGTAATAATAATTACTAAAATTCTTTACAGTAAAATGTCTCTTTTGATCACTTTGTGACCAGATTTATGAAATGCGTGTCCAAGAATTTCTTATCTTTAAAATTAAAATTAACAGAGGTGTGAAAAATGACATGTACGCTGCATGCATAAATTATGTAAAACAAAAGATGTTAATAAAATGATGTCACGTAGAAGAGAGAGAAATTTAATGTTATAACAGCATCCATTTTAGGGGAGGTCCTATATTCAAATATTTAAATCACTGTGTTACTTTTACTACAAGTAGCTATGGCCATGTTGTTTGAAGTCTGCTATTAAAAGTAATACCAGCCTGAGGTCAGTAATATTGTAAAAGGACTAAGTAGAGTCCAGTTCAGTTTGTAATCATAAGAGTGATTAACAAAATCATGGGAGTCTGATTTGTTTAATCACGAGTATGATTGCAGACCGAATTGGACAACATGAAGTTCTCTTACCAATTAATCATAGCTATAACAAAATTTGTCATATTTTAGGCTTTTTGCTAATAGCCCATTTTACAGTTACAGGTGGAAATGAGGCTGGAGTTGACCTTGTTTTGATACAACCCTTCCTGCTTTTTTATGTAAATCATGTTGTTCTTATGCTAAGTAGTATTTTTAAAGCTAAATTTGCATAAGAAAAGGGCGGAGACCTGTTTGTATCCAAACAAGGTCAACCTCAGCCCCATGTTCACTCAAACGCTAGGACACTAAGTCCACAACTGTAAAATGGCCTATTGAAACAAAAGAAATTTTTAGCTAGCTGTGAAAAAAGACATTTATTAAGTGCGCCCCTGATGGCGCATATTGTCCAATTACTTAGGTTTGATGCATACCTTCCTATTGCACTGTCCTATTAGTGCTGAAATCCGGATAGTTGATAGCCAATCAGATTTGAGAATTTTGGAATAGTTATGATTAATATTGTAGAGCATATGAGTTGTCATGGCAATCACCCTACACTGAAGATTTAGCATGACCTTAGTTTCAAAAAACTTCATGTAGGCACTGGATATAACATAATAATATTGATGTAGTAAACTGGTAATGTAGACGTATTGGGTACAGTACTGTTTCCCTATTAAAAAAATAAAATTGGTAAAGGTACATTTTTTACATTGTGTATTGCTCCAAATATGAGTAATAGCAGTAGCTAGACAGGGTTTGTACCATGGAGAGAAAGTAAAATGCTACGAAATTTCCTGGCTAATGTGAAAATGTAGAATGTAACACACTATGGGCATTCATGCCAAGCAATATCAAATTTCAGAAGGAGGATCCAATAAAAGGGATTCAAGGAGTAGGTACAAACCCAGGCTAGGTGACCCTGTATTGTAGTGTTTCTTGCCTTTCAATAATTTTTTTCTTCTCTCTTATACTAAAATGTCCACAAACTTGTCGAATAATCCTGCCATTTTAAAATGCTCAGTCTCTTCCCTAGATGATATGTCTCATGTAAAAGAAAGCTATGTACATAGCTTATAGCTTATAAATAATATCAGCAGCTTGGAAAAATACACCCAGCTGATTATTTCTGTAAAATGCCTAGCATGCATAGTGCATAATATTTTCCATCCCTCTTCAAGCTTCTTCATGTCCTTGTATTTAATATATTCAAAACCTCCAATCCTGAAGACTTGTTCCATAATTTCACAAACTCTTGTTATTGCACTGAACAAGCTGTAGATCCATCCCCCATGTGCCCTGATGCTTTTGCAAAGCATATTGCTTGCATCCATTCCTGTTGGTCTTGTTCACTCTCAGCTGAGAAGAAGTAAACTCTTTTAGCTCCTCTTGGCTTTATCCTGAAGGCAAACTGTTTCTTGTCTATGTTGCAGTCAGATAATTCACATCCCTCTAACATTACGACTTTTGATTGCTCCTGTTAACAGAATAAACAAATTTTGTTAACGGAATAAACAAAAAACAAGTAAAGGGTTTTCTTACTTAAAGTTTTTAGTACGTGGTGTATAGCTGTTCTATGAAGAAAAAAATAATAAACAATCCTAGACCAAAAATGAAAAGAAAAGTAGTGCATGCATTGACAGGGACATTTCTACGTTAAAATGACCTGTTTTTAGCTGTGTCTAAGTTCTATCGTGATCGCAGTATCTTAGGAGTCACAGCTTTCCTGATGATATTATATTTTTTGTTGTGATTAGTAGATACTACTAAATATAAAACGCAAAGTATTATTCATCATTTCTCTTCTCATTAGGTCAATTTTGTTGTAAATTATACCCTCATAGTGACATTCACCATTTTGAATTTTTGTGGATGAATTTGTTTACCTATCTTTCATTCCATGGACTGCAGCACCACTAACAGAAAACGTAGATTAAACTGATTTGAAAATACTTATGCTCGTTAATACACATGTAACTGTGATTTAAAGGAATGACAATAAAAATATATCAATACATATAACATTATCACTGTCAGATATAGAACAAAAATACACAGTAACTTATTATAACAATTACTTATTCATTCCCGAATGGTAATCTAACCCATGACATTCCAGAGCCCTTAACCTACATGGCTGTCTCTCCTTACTCCCTACCGTTGGGCAAGTTTATTGCTCAAGTCCTCCCCCAAGCATTTATTTGATCTCAGGTGATGGAATTGACTTGTTAGGGCAAGTATTGCTGAAGTGTTCAAGTGGAGAAGTAGAAAAACTACAAGCTAAGCACCATATGTTAGGCTATTCTACAGGTATTGTCATCACAAAAGAAACAAAGGAACAAAACAGTACAGTTCTGCTGGAGGCTTTATTGTTTGATTGTATTCATTTGTTTCTTTCGTTGAACGTAATCTGTGCCTTGGTACCTACAGAAGGAACCCATACATTAAAAGGTAAACTGAGCTGCCTCGATCTTTGTGAACTATGGCAGCAGAATAGTAAACACTGCACATAAAATACCAGCATCTTTCTGTCAGTGTTAGACCATGATATATTTATGAATTTAGTTGAAAATTTTAAAAGTTGACCTCTCAAGTTTCTAAACAAGTGGACCAAGCTTTTTATGAGTTTCTGTAAAGCAGAAGTACGACTGTATCTCACCAGTTCTGTGTTTCTCCGACACTGAAAAAGCTTATGGAGCCATCTCAAAAGTCACATTTTTCCCACTTTGATTGTTTTCCTCTGAGAAGATCCCTTGGTCTCTAGAGCATCATTTATCGCTTTTGTAATTGAATCCATGTACTTTGATTGGTTGAAGCGCAGCGACCTGTTTCTGGGTTGCTAAAACTAGCACCAATCAAGTATGTTAAGTCCTTTGTCCCACGACATATTAAACAGGACAAAGGACTTTTATGAAAGTCTAGGCTACATTGTATCACGTTAAACTATAAAAACTGGAGAAAGCTTTACATTAATTGATATACAGAGTGTAAAGGTTCAGTTGATGTAAAGCACAGCTTAACGTACTTCTTTACATAAAACCTTAAAGCCATTTAAGGTGCTCAGCCAGTTTTTTTTTCGAACACTTCAGCGATACTTGCACTGACAGGTCAAACGTGCTTAGCCTCATCACCTGTTATCAAATATATCCGGGAAAAATCGCTTTGGATTATTTGGATTACAAACTAATGGCAAAAGCTAGAAGTGCCAACTTTTGTATCTCTAGCCGGTCCCTTCATTCATAAAACTCATTCACTCAGTTCATAACACCAACTATAATTCGTACTTGACAATGTAACAAACTTATTGACATACTTCATCACATGAGCTGGCTGATGGAAAATCAGAGCAAGCCATTATTTTTTATCACCTCACCTCAGCTGAAAGACCATAAGATAACTCATTTTTCTTGAGACAGCACCATCGTCTATCCCAGTGTTTTGAAAGACGACTTCTTTTCGAAAGCCAGCCCTGTTTATTAATCGTATCACTCACTGAACTTCCCTCGCTCTGTTTGTCAACATTCTGTCCGCTTTCCGCCATTTCTGTTGGGCATCACGCAAAGCATCGTGGGTGATCATGCTCAAAGGAAAAAAGTATGGCCGGCGGCTAATTGCTAGGTCGCCAGGTCGTTATATATTGCGTTTTTTAAGACTTATAGCGCTGAATGAACAAACAAAAACGTATCTTTGAGGGATCAAGCATCCATGGGAACAACCTGTGGGTTTCTCTGAAAGGAGATGGCGATTTATCGTCGTCGTTTGTGATAGAGCATTCCAGCAATGCAGCATGTGGTTCCTTTGCATTCATCGCGTTTTGCATTCTTGCAGTTACTTTTGTTCTTTATAACGTAAGTATTTTGGCATTTTATACTTCCGGAGAAAAGAGTGTTTATTTTTAGTGGCTAATCTGCCTAAAAAAATTATTTTATTTCATTTTTTTATATAATTTTTTTCATGTTGCTGGTTATTTTTGAGGGAGGGAGGGAGGGGATGGTAGTGATAAGAGGAGGTAGATGTGGCTTACTAGGAACCCATCTATGGCCACAGCAATAGAGCAGGAGTTTTCTCGTATACGCTGTGATAGAGTGGTGTGAAAACTTTTTTNCATCGTTTATCCCAGTGTTTGGAAAGACGACTTCTTTTCGAAAGCCAGCCCTGTTTATTAATCGTATCACTCACTGAACTTCCCTCGCTCTGTTTGTCAACATTCTGTCCGCTTTCCGCCATTTCTGTTGGGCATCACGCAAAGCATCGTGGGTGATCATGCTCAAAGGAAAAAAGTATGGCCGGCGGCTAATTGCTAGGTCGCCAGGTCGTTATATATTGCGTTTTTTAAGACTTATAGCGCTGAATGAACAAACAAAAACGTATCTTTGAGGGATCAAGCATCCATGGGAACAACCTGTGGGTTTCTCTGAAAGGAGATGGCGATTTATCGTCGTCGTTTGTGATAGAGCATTCCAGCAATGCAGCATGTGGTTCCTTTGCATTCATCGCGTTTTGCATTCTTGCAGTTACTTTTGTTCTTTATAACGTAAGTATTTTGGCATTTTATACTTCCGGAGAAAAGAGTGTTTATTTTTAGTGGCTAATCTGCCTAAAAAAATTATTTTATTTCATTTTTTTATATAATTTTTTTCATGTTGCTGGTTATTTTTGAGGGAGGGAGGGAGGGGATGGTAGTGATAAGAGGAGGTAGATGTGGCTTACTAGGAACCCATCTATGGCCACAGCAATAGAGCAGGAGTTTTCTCGTATACGCTGTGATAGAGTGGTGTGAAAACTTTTTTTAATTTTATCTTGAAATTTGTGATCCATGGATTTTTTCTATTTTTTTAAAGACAACACATATATGGTTATTGACTTTATTTTGAGTTGTTCCAAACTAAGTCATTGACTTCATTCAAGTAATGCATCAGTCAATTCCAGCGTTTGCCTGCCTTGTCAGTCCCAGTGCAGCTGGAATTGACTGTTTCTTAACTTGAAAGTACAAAATGGTTAAGGACTGTTATACAAGCAGTTAGTAAGGTAATAAAATAATAATTATTAGTAAGCATATTTTTTAAAGGGGGAATAGGGAAAGGTAGCCTGCGCCACAGATGAAACTTAACTCTGGTTAAGTTCGTCTGCAAACAGTGCCAAAGCTCTTGTTCGGGCTCCCTGCTGTGTACCAGGATTTGAGTACGTGCCATGATTGGCCTGTTAAAAAAGCCATTGTCGATTTGCCAATCAGAATGAAAGGAAATTCAAAATGCCCCTCCAGTAATTCGTTTGTTGGTTGCGCAGAACATAGCCTGCGAAAACATCTGTTTCTCCTCGCTATTCGCCGCTGGGGACGTTTCGCACGGAGGAACGTCTGCGACTCAGCGACAGAAATTCCCTCCTGATGATGCAAATTAATGTTTACATAATAAATCCGGCAGTCATGGGGTTTTAAATATAAATTTGTCCAATTTTGCGTGTCTTCTGGTCGATTTTGGTAAAGTATTGTGATCATCTGCCCACGAGCTCCAGCAAAAACTCAAATGTTTCTTCTAGAGAAGACTATATTCCACAAAATATTGACTGTTTTGTTAGAGATTCTTTGCATTTACATTTGACCTTTGTGACCTTTTGTCTTTTGTCTTTCATTTGTAAACAATAGCTAAAATAATGTAACTACTCTGTTGGCCAATCAGTGCTTCTGACCGGATTGCGGACAGATTTTACGTCATCAGTATGGAATTTCTGTCGTTGAGTCACAGATGTTCCTCCGCGCGAAACATCCCCAGCAGCGAAGAGCAAGGAGAAACGGATGATTTTGTAGGCTACGCAGAACAAGGATCTTGGTGCTGCTTCGCAGACGTTACTATCCGAGGTTAAATTACTTCTGTGACACAAGCTAGGGGAAGGGAAGATAAGACCGCTTTTATTAAAGAGTGACTGCAGTCGAATAAAGGAACGAGAAATGAACCTGTGTAAAAATGAAATAATGAATTCTTACATCTTGAAATTATTATATTATTTTAAGAACTGCAGGTTGAAGAATTAAACATAAAGAAGATTGTGTAGGGTAAAACTTCATGATTTTCATAGATCTACATTCAAATTCTCCTGACTGATCTCCATAAATATCTATAAAGAGTAAGTTGGAAGAATTTGGTAAAAGATCAAAGCTTTCTCTTTGTTGATAATTTTATTCATTCTCACAATCTCTTCTTTTGATTATATACAATATTGTCAGGAGAAACTTGATGTTGGTCTTTCTTGGTCTGAGTTAAAGGGCTGACCAGTTTGTGGTTGGCCTGTTAGCTCAGGAAGAGGTCAAATCCCAGGCTTTCCTTTTTTGATTATAACTTCTTTACATTTAAACAATCCTGCACTTCTAACATTTTCATATATTCAGTATTTATGTGTATTGTTCTTCTCTTTATAGGAACTTTTAACTTTTACAATAACCGGCTGTCTAGCTTGGATAGTCGTATTCATTACCATTGCCTGTGTTAAACTGCTGTGTTTCAATGTCTGTAGAGGTTAGTTAAACCTGTAAATTGAGTGAGATTTCTATTACTACAGTAGAGGTTCCAATCTTTCTTAACCCTAAGTTAGTTTTCGAAAACCTAATTACAAAACTGGGATCATATATCTTTTGGGGGGTGTCAATAACTGTATTGACCGATATCTCGGTCGACTGTCTATCAACATAACAGTCGCCATGTCAGTTCAGAGT